CTGAGATTCATCCTTGTCCAAGAACTTAGTCCACTGACCTGAGATTCATCCTTGTGAGAGGACGGTTTTGATGCCAGGTGAGGTCTTAATGATCCTTCGAGGGTCAACTGAATCCGTGAAGAGTCACTCACTGACCGACACCAGCACGCGTTACCGCCCATTCAGAGGCGCCGGGAGGGAGCCGGCTACAGCTGGTCCACACCGTGCAGTGTGGTCAGTGTCCATAGGGCAGTGGCCAGCTGCATGGTGGTGGACATCCCAGCTGGACAGTTCAAAGACCATGGAACGTGAAGAGAGGCCCAAGGTGTGCTGGACGGGATGCCCGTGAGGTCCTCCTCCCGTTTCAAACCTCCCCTGGTCTCCCTGACACCCTGGAGACAGGGCAGGCTCATCCTCCGCCCCCGGGAGGGGAGATGGGGGAAGGAAGGGAAGGAAGGGGCGAGGGAGGCAGGACAGGGGGCTCTTGGAGGAAGGGCTGTTGTGCTGTGGGCTCAGAGAGGCATTGGGATGGGATTGTTTGCACAGCAAGAGGGTGGGGGTGCTGGCAGGAGAGGAGACCGAGAGCGACCATTCTGTCTCTGTTCTTCGCTGTCTGAAGGCCTTGTCCGTGGGGCTGGATGTCGAGCACAGGGGAGGTGAACCTGGGTTCTAGAGAAGCGGGCGAGCTGCTAGGAGGACAGGATAGCCCCAGTGCCAAGCAGGACCCAGGGTGGCTTCATTCTGGGGGCGGGAGGGCAGCAGGAAGAGCCCGAGAGCAGCTGCTTTCCTAATGTCCCAGAGGGCTGCGCAGGACAATCCCAGGGCTGTCCCGGGAGGGGCATCTCAGAAGCTCGACCATCCCTTGGCGTCCTCCCAGTGAACTTTGGAGAGTGCAGCTGGTGATGCCGCCTCCCGGAGCAGGGGACAGTGCGAAAGGGCACCCAGAGGGCAGGATGAGGCACTGCTCCCTAGTTTGGGCCCTGAGACTCGGCTATGGCTGAGTGATGGGTGGCCAGAGGCCCTCCAGTTCAGAGTGGGGGTCACTACCATGTGACTGGAACATCACCCAGCACCCACAATGCAACAGCAGGAAGGAGCTGGGAGCAGCCTGCGGGTGGTCAGCTGTGTCCTCCTAAGTGCTTGGGGGTGGGTGGGGCGGGGCAGCAGGGACCCAGGTCCCCAGGGAGCAAGGCTGAGGTCACCCGCTGGGAAGACTCCTTCTGTGGAGGGTTGTGTCACCTGTGATCACAGAGCAGAGGGGCTGAGGCTCCCCCACCGCCCACCTTCTCCCGTGAATCTCATCCAACTGCGATGGAGGGAGGGCAACGGGTCACCTCTCCCTGGGGCCAAGGAGAACCCAGCCTTGGCCTTGGGCTTGGAACTTCTCTGTAACCTTCTCCACACCTGGTTTGCAGGGTTTGGATCCCGCCAGTGACGGGGACCTCAGAGGAAGGGAGTTTCAACAGCAGCCAGTGCCTTTGGAGGCAGCAAGGACTGGAATCGAGTTTCTCATCTGAGACTGAAAATCTGTTTCTGAGCTTCAGTGGCGGTATTCCTCTTTCTTCTGTCTGTTTCTGTTTTTGTGGTGCTGGGGATTGAACCTAGTGGGTGCTCTACCACTGATCTACACCTTTAAAATTTTTTTTTGTATTTTGAGTTAGGGTCTCACTAAGTGGCCCAGGCCAGCCTCCAACTTGTGACCCTCCTGCCTCAGCCTCCTGAGTAGCTGGGGTTACCGTCCTGCACCACTGCTGCCAGCTGCAGTATCCAGCTTAATTTTATACTTGGGGCCTGTGGTGTTTTGAGTGATGGCAGCCCCCCCGAAACTCACGTGGATACCCAGTCCCCAGAGCAGAAGTGTTTAGGGGTGTGGGAGCCATCTCGGGCTGCACCCTCACCAATGGGGTCAGCATTCTTAGAAAACGGCTCAAGACCAAGGGAGCACTCTCTGGCCCCTCTGCCTTGTTGGATGCAGCAATGAGGCGCCGTCTTGAAACACAGCAGCCATCGCCAGGCATCAATAGCAGCACCTTGATCCTGGATTTCCAGCCTCAGAGCTGTGAAAAATAAGTTTATGTTCTTTGCAGTTTACCCAGCCTCAGGTATTTTGTGATAGCAGCACAAATGGACGGAGTCTATTTCCTTGTAGCAGCACAGCACCCCACATTCTTGAAGGAAGGATTGTCCCTTCCAAGTTTGTCTTATTTGGAATCAATTATTTTTCAAGGGGACTGATTTCAAGTTCTTTCACCTATTGGTGAACTCATTAATTTGGCTTAGTCTCTGCCCACACCCAAACTAAACAATAGGCCAGGGAATGCCAGGACAGGGCAGAAGAGAGAGAGAGTTATTATGACCGCCTTGTTAAGGAGACAATACTTTTATAATGAATTCTGTGTCCGTCAGCTTCCTGTCACTATAGCAAAATACCTGAGACAGTTAACAGCTAAGGAGAAAAGGTTATTTTGTCTCCCAGTCTGGGGAGTTCCAGCCTGTGCTCAGTTGGCCTTGTCATTTGGGCTTGTGAAACAGTGTCTCATGGCAGGACATCAGGGAGCAAACCGGCTCAGCTCCTTCCAAGCCAGGAAGCAAAGAGAAAATGCAGTGAGGCCCCCACAGGCCCTTCAAGGGGCACCCCAAGGATCAAGGCCTCCCCCTCATTCCCACCATCTCCCACTAGTGCCACCCGGGACCAAGGGCCCCCACGGGTCTTGGGGGGACACGCGAGGCCCCACTACGGCAGAACCCGGTGCTCCAGTCGGGGCTTCCAGGGGAGCAGAACAGGCAGCTGCGCAGTGATGCCCTGCACCAGGGACAGACTGCTCGGCCCAGGTGGCCCTGGAGAGCATGCTACCTGGTGACGTCATAGCTGCCAGGCTGTGTGAGCAGGGAACGGGAGGCTGAGTGGCGCATTTCTCTGAGCGTGTCCTCTCTTTTAGGTGACACGTGACCGTGCACTGGTATCTAGGAGGAGCCCGACCCCGGGAATCGGCTCCTGTGATCATGGAGCCCGAGGAGTTCCACGAAACGCTGTTGGCAAGCTGGACAGGCAGGACAGCGGAGCTGAGACTCAGACTGAGGAGGTCCTGCAGGGTCGGGGGGGTGGGGGCGGCCCTGGCCTGCATCTGAGTTTGAAGACTTGGGAGCTTTGGGGTCCTTTGGGTGTCCCATCCCCAGCAGAGAGAGCACAGTGGCCTCCTCCACGGTTTGTCCACCCAGCCCATGCCCATCCACCTGGGTGGACTTCACTCAGTCCACAGAGTGAGGGGCTAAGCTCTTCCAACAACGCTCAGAGATAAAGTGTGGTGTCCCTTAACCCTGGCACGGTGACACTGAAGGTTAGCCGTCACACCAGACTGCACAGCCAGCCCCAGCTGGGTTAACTCAGGGCACGTGGATCTGCTTAGACCAAGCACGACCACAGGGCACCGTGGCCGCTGGCTGCATGTGGCTTTCCACGGGAGGCTGACCAAACTCTCTGGGATCCCCCAAGCAGTGCATCAGGAACCAGGATGTGGTGTGTGATGGGAAGGGAGGGAGCGGGGTGACGTGGCCTCCCCTCAGCTTATCCTGGATTCCCTCTGAAGCAGGCCCTGACCCCATCCTGGGATCCACACCCAGCCATCCCCTTGTCGGTGGGCTCTACCTCTGCACAGCCAACCAATGGCAGGTGGAAGAGACTTGGGGGAAAAACCCCACATCGATAAAAAAGAACAATACAACAACAAGAAAAGTGTGAAGAAAAAATCGACATCACCACTGTTCACGTAGCATTGACATTGTGTTAGGCGTGACGAGTAACCCAGGGACTGTTTAAAGGACAGGGAGGAAGCACTTAGGTCACATCCAAGCACCACTGCTGTCATTCCTATAAGGGACTCGAGCCACCTCAGAGGTAGGTGACCATGGGGACCTGGAGCACATCGTCTTTGGATCCCGGTCCCCTCCTCCAGGTGCGAGGTAGCTGGGGAGCTGCTTCTGGTCTGCTGTGCTCAGGGCCCAGGGCCGAAGGTCAGGTGCCTGATCAGACTTGTCACCAGTGCGCCCAGGAGCACACAGGGCCCAGGGGCTGAGGGTGGGTCTTGCTGCACCTGGCTCCCGCTCCGTCTCCGCTGCCCTGGACCAAGCCGGGCCTGCCGCTGTCCCCCTCTTCCTTGGGTTCCCCGCGGCTGTTGAGAGGTGCTGACTACCTCCTGTCCCGTCCTTTGGGGTGCAGAGCCACCGTCATCTCGGCAGACCTTGGCCCAGCTGCCAACTCTTCTCTTCGTCTGGCCTCCCCGGCCGCCCACTGGGACAGGCAGCAGCAGGACGTGCTGGGCCGGGAGGGGACTGGGAGCTCCGCAGCAGGCTGCCTGGGCCTCCCGAGGGGAGGACTGCCTCCCCTCCCGCTGCCCCAGCCCTGACTCACAGGACACTGGAAAGAGGACATGAAATGCCCACAGCTCCAGGGTTCCACGGGGCCACAGGATCTGGATCTCTCCAGGGAGAGGAGGGAGTGCCGCAGCCGGGGCCCACGGGGCCACGGAACCTCATCGGCGGGTGTCCATATCTGTGGTCTGTGTTCTGGGGCTGCTTTTCCTGTCCCTCACAGCCATCCTGACCGCTCCTGTCATCGAGGGGGCCTGGGCTTCTGCACAGGGAGGCGGAGGCCTCCCTCGTTCATGGACGAGGCAGGTCTTGCCAGACCAGCACCAGGAGCGGTCAGGCCTGGTCAGAAGTTTTAATGAAGAGAACAAGAAATGGTGGGCGGGCACGGGCGGGGGCGGGCGGCTGTGATTCCATCTTCCCTTTTGGCAGAAACTAACTTCTCTGCGAGAACAATGAGAAGTCGGGGTGGAGTTTCCCCTGCCACTCAGCACCCCCAGGAAAGTGCTGTGGCTGCGAGGGCTGGACGGCTCTGCCTGCTGAGCAGGCCTGGAGGGCTGGTCAGTGGCCGCCCGGCTCTGCTGCCTTGCCTGACCCTGATGTCCTGAGCCCTTCCTGCTGCGCAGACCGCCACACCGTGGCCTAGACCACAGCATCTGTCGTGTGAAGGCTACTGTTCCCCCGCAGGGCTGGCCTTGGCGATGTCCTGGGGTCAGTGGAGAGGCAGGCTGGGCAATGCTGGCCAGGCAGGGGCTGGGGACACGGGACGGCTTCCTTTCCCAGGAAGGAGGGCTTCTTGGAGCAGGGCACCTCACTGGACTCCTGAGTCTGGCACAGCTACGACCCCAATCCGGGTGGTAGACACAGTCCACAGCCAAGCTGGCCCCTTGCTGGCTGCGTGGTGGCCACTGTACCCTGTGCCTTTCCTGTACCCAGGGTCCCTCTGGGCTTCCTGGGCGTCCGGTCCTGCCTTATAAAGCTGCTCTCAACTCCACTCAAAGACCCAGTTCCAAGCCCGGCTGGGCCTCCTTGCTGCGGGGGACAGGGACGGGGGCTTCCGGATACTCGGACATGGACAACTCCACTGGCCTGCGTCTCTCTTTGTCAAAGGGAGGCCCCGGGCAGGCCGGTTGTCATTAGGGAAAGCTCGGCATAGAGTCCACGGGATAAAAATGCCGCACCCCTTGAAAAAGAAAGAAAAAAGCCTCCAAGGATGGGGGTCCCAGAGCAGCTTGGCGCTCTGTGTGTGTGTGTGTGTGTGTGTGTGTGTGAGTGTGCAGCCCTGGGGCCTTGGGCACAGCTGACTCGGCAGTGGGGAAACTGTGGTCAGGAATCCAGGAGATGAGGATCTGGAGTCAGAGTTCATGGTCAAAGAGGCCCGAGCCGCCCGGGAGGATGGCGCTCCCCCGAGGACCCTCCCAGCCCAGGGAGGCAGGTCAGGGGTCACTGGGTCTCACCCCCTGTCACCGGAGGGTCCTGAGGTGGAGGGCCCAGAGGCAAGGCCTGTCTGGCAGCGTCCTCTCCGTGTGCAGTGGGAGTGTGTAGAAGAGGCTCTCAGGGATGGGGACGCTGGACGTGTTCCCCCCAGTGACAGGGAGAGACACTGCCCACACCGTGAGGGGTCACTGAGAGGAGGCTGGGGATTCTGTGCCTGGCGGAGCTGAGAGGCCAGAGGCGAATCTCGGCATTTTACAGGTGAGGAATCCGAGGTCGCCCCGGCTGGTGGGGCAGAACAGGACTTCCCTGGACACCACCCCGGACACCACCCCGGACCCCACCCCGGTCAGGTGGGATCACCAGGGGCCCCTGGATCACACACGCCCGCCCAGCGCTCCCCCCGTCAGTGGCACCGACTGGAGAGCTGGGGGGGGGTGGAGGAGCCCCCAGAGGCTGGGTCCCTGGAGACCCAGGGAAGGCACAGCCAGGCAGCCCAGGAGCGAGTCTCACAGACTCTTTGTTTTCATTAGGGGAAGATCTCAATTAAAATAATTACAGTTACAACAGAAAATCACTGAGAGAGAGGAAAAGGAGTTCAGTTAAATGCAAATATATTCAGAAGCTGTTATGAACTGGCTCCGTCTGAAATCGCCCATTAACAAGTTCTCGCTAATTATCCACCTTTTATTGTTTTAGAGAAGAAGCGGTTCCTCCATTCCCTCCATTCCCCATTCCCGTGGGGCTTGTTGGAGGCCCAGGATCGGAGGGGACTTCACAGTGGACGACACCCCATCCTTGTGATTAGGAGGCCAGCAAGCCGGGCTGCCCTGCAGAGGCTAGCTGAGCTTCGCCTTACAACGAACACTCAGCCTTGGTTTCCATCACTAAGTGCCCCCCTTTTTTCAGAGAGGGTGATTTGCCCTGGGACAAGGCTCCTGTTGGGAGCAAGGCTGTGCGGCAGGAAGAGTTGGGTGTTTTATTTGCACCTCTTGCTTGGCTGGGGGTCAGGGCTTGATTCTTTCCCTCTGTCCCCGGGGGTGCTCAACAGCGGCAGGAACTCTGCATCTGCAGCCCCCTCCCCGGCCCCTCCCCTGACCACCGTGACAGGTGAGGCAGAGGGTGGACATCACTTGGGGTCAGGGTGCAGCCTACGTGTCTGCCCAGGGCCGTCTGTCTGGACTTCTGGGGCTGTCCTGCTGTCAGGCCGCCTGGCCCCGTGCGGGGTGAAGAAGGAACCTGGCTGCCGGGATGGGGCTGTGGACGGGGCTCTCCTCCCAGCCGTGTGTGGCGGGAGGGCCATCAGCCCTTGGGTCTCTGGAGGTGGCTTGTGCACTTAGCTGTAAGTCCTGGCTCTCAAACAGGAGTCTGTAAAACACCAAGTTCATGGTTTTACACCCCCCCTCCCCAGATTGCCTCTGAAGAGGACCACTGTGCGTCTGGAGGATTGGGGTGGGAGCGTGGGCTGGGGGCTGTCTGAGGCGCTGCAGGTCCTAGAAAAGCAAGAGCCAGATGCCAACCACATGAGGTGCCCAGAGTCAGCACTGAGGTCCTGTCCTGGTTGTGGGGGTGGGGAAGACCCCAGGTGTTGGTGGGATTTAGGAATCCCTGGAGAGAGCCCTGGCTCCCTGGGTGGTCCCTCATATGCTGGGCCAGGAGGGGGCACTTCCTGGTGGGGCTCTATTGGAATGTGAATGCTCCCAAGGGCACTGACCACTCCCCCCTAGGAGTGGCCCTAGCCCCTCTACTGCCCTGGTGGAATCCCGGCCTTTCTGCCTGGGTGCCCTCAGTCTCTGTTCTCTGCCTTCAGTGCCAGCCGTGGTGTCCACGCCCTGCACGCCTGCGTCCTGGTGCCGGGCACGCCTTGCTCATCCTACACCCTGGTCACCGGTCAGCTCTGCCGTGGTCTTGGCTGAGGGTCTTCCTACTGGATGGGCGCCAGGCTCGGCGCTCCTTGCAGAGGAGTGCTGGCCATCAGGGGACTGAGACGGCCCGAGAGGTCAATCTGAAAACCCCAGAGCGTCACTCGGCCTCAGGGGCCCCCGTGGGTTGCCTCTGGGCCTGGCACTGTGTCACGCACAGGGGAGGAGGATACCAGGAGCAGGAGCACGGCCAGCGCTGGGCAAGGCCCAGAGCCTGCTGGAGAGCCGCACGGAGTCCCCTCCTGAGGGCTCGGCTGCGGAAGGCTGGCCACTGCTGGCCGAGGGGCACTTGAGTGTTAAAGGAGGCCATTTCCTCAGATCTCTCCAAGACAGAGAAGGAGCAGGGAAGTCTGTTGCAGAGAGTCGGGAAGCTGGCCTGTCCCCCAGAAGTCCCATCGCTCTGGGTCAGTAGCTCACCTGAGCCAGGATTAAAGCCCCATCGGCATGGGCAAGGTGACAAAGGCCAGGCCTCGTGCAGGGTGGGGACACGTGGGTGGGCCAGACGCTGGCTGGTGCTTTCTGAGACGGGGGAGGTGCACACTGGGTGGAGGGCTGGGTGTGCAGGGGGACAGCCCCCAGGAGTTCAGACCCTCACCTCCCCGCTTCCTGGGTGGGGGCTTCGAGCTTGGTCCCCGACTTCCGGACGTCGTTAGTCCCCGTGTACCTGGAGAGCAGCCAGGGGCGGGAGACAAGGGGCCGGTGGCAGGCACATTGTGTCCCAGGTCTGGGCGACGGAGGATTTCCTGGGCAGGCCCTGTGTCCGCCGGTTCCCAAAGGCGAGGCCAAGCAGAGCGAGGCGGCCTGTCCTTCCCCCACCAGAGGCGGTGGACAGAGCAGGAGGGAGGTCAGAGGTCAGCCAGGCCCCCTCCTCCCCACTCCACCTGGGCGTGACGTTCCCGGAGGACGTGCGTTGGGTGGGGAGCTGGGCCCTGTGGGCGCTGCCATTTCCCAGTGCCGTGTGGTTGCTAGTCTGACCTGTTGCTTCTCCTGGGGTGCATTTTACCTGTGCTCTGCCTCCCCTGACGGGGTGGGTACACGGAGCATGGCGCCTGACAGGGTGGTCTTCACCCTGAAGGTGCCGTGAGGTCCCAGTGGCCTGACCAAGGGAGACCCCCACCCTCACAGCACACAGTTCTCTGAGCCAGCCAGGGCTGCAGGAGGACCCAGGCTCAGGACTCATCGTGTGGTGTGCGCTGACCTCGGTGAATCCTCCTAAGGACCCTGTCAGTGGAGGTGATTTTACAGAAGAGGAAACTGAGTCTCAGAGAGGTTCAGCACTTTTCCTAGGGCCACACAGCTACGAATCAGCTGCACCTGGATTTGAACTCCTGCACTCTGGTTCCAGATCCCCTACTGCCACCCTGCCTATCTGGTGCCAAGTGACCTGCTCAGCATGACCCCACCTGACCTCACTTCCATCCCCAGACCTGCCCTCCTCTGCTCCCCAACTTGTCAATGTCATCTCCAAACTCTCTCCCTGGGTTGAGAGCTGGCCTGGGCCTCCCTGCATTCCAATCTTCTGCCCAGCGTTGGCCCCAGCTCAGCTCCTCCTCCTCCTGCCTGGCATCCCGTCTCTGTCCTGCCTGCACTGCCCAAATGCCAAGCTGGGTTCTTCCCACTGCACCAAAGTCAAAAGCCCGACTCCTCAGGGTGTCTTGGCTGCCGGCCTCGCGGTGCCTGTGGATTGGCTCCGCTCCACAGCCTGTTTGTCTCATGGTGTGCTTCTGCGTCCCGTGGCTCCACCCCTTACTCATGCTTCCTCAGCTCAGAGTGCCCGCACTCACTGTTGGCAGCCTGGAAAGCTCCTATTCACACCTCAAAACCCCGCCTCCACGCGACTTTCCTGTATCCTCTCCCTCCCGAGAGCTCCTTCTAACTCCTCTGAACTTTCATTTTTCTTGTCAATTACAGATATTGCTCTCACCAGTGCCCACCCCCTTTTGGACTCTGTGGAAGGTGTTGGAAGCATCTTGCGCCTCTCCTTCCCAGATCCGGCAGAGCCTGGTCCTGGGTAATGCTGGTGGAGTTCAGTGAATGGGCTCAGCGTTTCCCCCCCCCCCCACCATCTCTCAGTGCCTTCCGGAAGATCCTACTGATCGTCAACTTGCAAGTCTCCAGGAGCCTTCTGCAGCCTATTTGAGGGCTTGCCTTTGTCACTGATAGCCATCTCTCAGGGCCCAGGTGCCATGAGAATCCTGCTGCTCCATGCACAGACTTGGCCACAGAGAGGCCAGCACCAATAGTGGTGCAGCCTGTGGGCTGGGAATGGTGTTCTGCCGAGAAGGAGAACTGGAGGGATGTTCCCATGGCAACGGGGCCTTCCTGGAGACTCTCCCAGGGGAACAGCTCTGGTTCTGCTGGGCGCAGCCGGGGCCTGGGGTAAGGCCAGGCGGAGCCCAGGGCACTGCCCACCGCTCGCTGCTCTTCTGGCCGCTCCTCCACTCGGGCCTCCCTCTAGCTGCTCTCTGCGGCCTCCCTGGGCCCTGCTGGAAGGGCTGCAGTGTGCCCCGCACGGTTCCCAGACAGCCATCTCTTCCCGGGTGATAACAGAAAACGTGCCTTTTGGCGACAGTGGTTTTCACGTTCGTGTGAAATGATCCTCCAAAATGCCCACGCACGTGTCCACTTCACAGACGGGGCACCGACGCTGCACTCTGTAAGTGCAGCAGAGAAGCCGGAGGTGCAGAGGGTGCCAGGCGGGTACAGCCCAGACTCCTGAGCGCTGTCCTTCCCGGGAGGCCAGCAGGGACAGTGACCTTCCCCTGACCTGCCCTCTCCTGGCGGCAGGCATCCCTGGAGGGCATCCTCCTGGCTCAGGTCGGGAGGGGAGGGCGAG